ATTGATATTAAGCAGCAATGCTGGAGTGCAGATTTAGAGGCTTTCGCGAAGTTGGATTTTTATAAGACACTTAGTAATCAGTTTAGTTACTCAAATATTCTCGAAACTACAACAGTTAAAGTTGATATTACGAATTTCATCCGACTTTGTTGTTCAAATCATGAGTTATTAATTGAATCGGGCAGGAGGTGGAATATTCCCAGATCAGAAAGATTATGTCCATTCTGTATTGTCCCACACATTGAATCCGAGTACCATGTTTGTTTAAAGTGCCCATTTTATCATAATCTAAGATATACACTTCTTCCAAAATATTACTGGGAATATCCAACTTCGGATAAGATGCCAGCATTATTTCTCTCAAAAGGTGTAGAAATCTCTGTAAATTTCTCTTTTTAGCAGCCAAGAAAAGACAAATGTTTCTTTAAAGATGTCCCTCTTAGATAAAATTTCTGCTACATTTATGTTGCAAAAGCTGTTATTCATGTATAAATACATTTATTATAATTGTTAGCCCGCTGATACCAAAACACGAGGCACCAGCGTCCCAATCGTGCCTGTGACTGAACGTTGTTTTACGCCGTCGTCAGCATTGCTCTAGCCAAATCGCGGCAATAAATAACTAAACTAGACAATCAAGATAATATCAAGTTTTCACTCACATGTGTATTATCATTATTATCATTATTATCAATTTTCCACAATTGTCAGCAGCAACACCGACGCCTGTTTACGATTCAACTTACCGCCCGTCCGCCGCAGAAAAGGGCATTGTCGTCGTAGTTTTGGGGGGTGTTGAACCCGTACCTCCACATGGTGGACCTCCCCGGTGGATCTATTATCCTCCCGTGGGGGACAACAACATGAATCAACGTCACAAGAGAAACTAGCAACAACATTCCGCAGCCGTGGAATCAGCACAACCGATTTCAGCCCGGTCTAATTCAAAATTTCAAAATGGCGGCGCGATAATTTTGTTGTGGTCTGGATGACGTTCGGAGTTGTTGATGATGGCTTTGGTGGCTTTTATGGGAATTCCTGTCACCTCGCCTCGCATTAATAAACACAAGGCTTCATGTCCTTTTTGAAGTAAACGTCAACTTGTTGATGTATTCCTTTCCGTCATGCCGCCGTCCACCGCTTTTGGTCCAGGCTGGCCCCACTGTGTAACCAATGCTTGGATTGACGACAAGAGGGTCATAGCTGTCCCATGTCGGTCGGTGGCTCATGTTAATTGGGTGTTAGTACAGTGAGTGTGTAGGAGCCCCCTGGTAACTATAGGTGTTAGTACGGTGCGTGTCTAATGGCCTCCTGCTAACTATAGGTGTTAGAACAGTGAGTGTGTAGGGGTCCCCTGGTAACTATAGGTGTTAGTACAGTGTGTGTGTAGGGGTCCCCTGGTAACTATAGGTGTTAGTACAGTGAGAGTGTAGGGGCCCCCTGGTAACTATAGGTGTTAGTACAGTGAGTGTGTAGCGGTCCCCTGGTAACTATAGGTGTTAGTACAGTGAGAGTGTAGGAGCCCCCTGGTAACTATAGGTGTTAGTACAGTGAGTGTCTAATGGCCTCCTGGTAACTATAGGTGTTAGTACAGTGAGTGTGTAGGAGCCCCCTGGTAACTATAGGTGTTAGTACAGTGAGAGTGTAGGGGCCCCTGGTAACTATAGGTGTTAGTACAGTGAGTGTGTAGGAGCCCCCTGGTAACTATAGGTGTTAGTACAGTGAGTGTGTAGGGGCCCTCTGGTAACTATAGGTGTTAGTACAGTGAGTGTGTAGGGGCCACCTGGTAACTATAGGTGTTAGTACAGTGAGTGTGTAGGGGTCCCCTGGTAACTATAGGTGTTAGTACAGTGAGTGTGTAGGGGCCCTCTGGTAACTATAGGTGTTAGTACAGTGAGTGTGTAGGGGCCCCTGGTAACTATAGGTGTTAGTACAGTGAGGGTGTAGGGGTCCCTGGTAACTATAGGTGTTAGTACAGTGAGGTGTAGGTGCCCCTGGTAACTATAGGTGTTAGTACAGTGAGTGTGTAGGGGCCCCTGGTAACTATAGGTGTTAGTACAGTGAGTGTGTAGGGGTCCCCTGGTAACTATAGGTGTTAGTACAGTGAGTGTGTAGGGGCCCTCTGGTAACTATAGGTGTTAGTACAGTGAGTGTGTAGGGGCCCCTGGTAACTATAGGTGTTAGTACAGTGAGTGTGTAGGGGCCCTCTGGTAACTATAGGTGTTAGTACAGTGAGAGTGTAGGGGCCCCTGGTAACTATAGGTGTTAGTACAGTGAGTGTGTAGGGGCCCTCTGGTAACTATAGGTGTTAGTACAGTGAGAGTGTAGGGGCCCCCTGGTAACTATAGGTGTTAGTACAGTGAGTGTGTAGGGGCCCTCTGGTAACTATAGGTGTTAGTACAGTGAGGTGTGTAGGGGCCCCCCTGGTAACTATAGGTGTTAGTACAGTGAGTGTGTAGGGGCCCCTGGTAACTATAGGTGTTAGTACAGTGAGTGTGTAGGGGCCCCTGGTAACTATAGGTGTTAGTACAGTGAGTGTGTAGGGGCCACCTGGTAACTATAGGTGTTAGTACAGTGAGTGTGTAGGGGCCCCTGGTAACTATAGGTGTTAGTACAGTGAGTGTGTAGGGGCCACCTGGTAACTATAGGTGTTAGTACAGTGAGAGTGTAGGGGCCCCCTGGTAACTATAGGTGTTAGTACAGTGAGTGTGTAGGGGCCCCTGGTAACTATAGGTGTTAGTACAGTGAGTGTGTAGGGGCCCTCTGGTAACTATAGGTGTTAGTACAGTGAGTGTGTAGGGCCCCTGGTAACTATAGGTGTTAGTACAGTGAGTGTGTAGGGGCCCCTGGTAACTATAGGTGTTAGTACAGTGAGTGTGTAGGGGCCCCTGGTAACTATAGGTGTTAGTACAGTGAGTGTGTAGGGCCCCCTGGTAACTATAGGTGTTAGTACAGTGAGTGTGTAGGGGCCCCCTGGTAACTATAGGTGTTAGTACAGTGAGTGTGTAGGGGCCCTCTGGTAACTATAGGTGTTAGTACAGTGAGTGTGTAGGGGCCCCCTGGTAACTATAGGTGTTAGTACAGTGAGTGTGTAGGGGCCACCTGGTAACTATAGGTGTTAGTACAGTGAGTGTGTAGGGGCCCCTGGTAACTATAGGTGTTAGTACAGTGAGTGTGTAGGGGCCCTCTGGTAACTATAGGTGTTAGTACAGTGAGTGTGTAGGGCCCCTGGTAACTATAGGTGTTAGTACAGTGAGTGTGTAGGGGCCCCTGGTAACTATAGGTGTTAGTACAGTGAGAGTGTGTAGGGGCCCCTGGTAACTATAGGTGTTAGTACAGTGAGTGTGTAGGGGCCACCTGGTAACTATAGGTGTTAGTACAGTGAGTGTGTAGGGGCCCCCTGGTAACTATAGGTGTTAGTACAGTGAGTGTGTAGGGGTCCCCTGGTAACTATAGGTGTTAGTACAGTGAGGGTGTAGGGGGCCCCTGGTAACTATAGGTGTTAGTACAGTGAGGGTGTAGGGGCCCCTGGTAACTATAGGTGTTAGTACAGTGAGTGTGTAGGGGCCACCTGGTAACTATAGGTGTTAGTACAGTGAGTGTGTAGGGGCCCCCTGGTAACTATAGGTGTTAGTACAGTGAGTGTGTAGGGGCCCCTGGTAACTATAGGTGTTAGTACAGTGAGAGTGTAGGGGTCCCCTGGTAACTATAGGTGTTAGTACAGTGAGTGTGTAGGGGCCACCTGGTAACTATAGGTGTTAGTACAGTGAGTGTGTAGGGGCCACCTGGTAACTATAGGTGTTAGTACAGTGAGGGTGTAGGGGTCCCCTGGTAACTATAGGTGTTAGTACAGTGAGTGTGTAGGGACCACCTGGTAACTATAGGTGTTAGTACAGTGAGTGTGTAGGGTTCCCCTGGTAACTATAGGTGTTAGTACAGTGAGTGTGTAGGGGCCCCCTGGTAACTATAGGTGTTAGTACAGTGAGTGTGTAGGGGCCCCCTGGTAACTATAGGTGTTAGTACAGTGAGTGTGTAGGGGTCCCCTGGTAACTATAGGTGTTAGTACAGTGAGTGTGTGTGGGGCCCCTGGTAACTATAGGTGTTAGTACAGTGAGAGTGTAGGGGGCCCCTGGTAACTATAGGTGTTAGTACAGTGAGTGTGTAGGGGCCACCTGGTAACTATAGGTGTTAGTACAGTGAGTGTGTAGGGGTCCCTCTGGTAACTATAGGTGTTAGTACAGTGAGTGTGTAGGGGCCCTCTGGTAACTATAGGTGTTAGTACAGTGAGTGTGTAGGGTCCCCTGGTAACTATAGGTGTTAGTACAGTGAGTGTGTAGGGAACCCCTGGTAACTATAGGTGTTAGTACAGTGAGTGTGTAGGGGCCCCCTGGTAACTATAGGTGTTAGTACAGTGAGTGTGTAGGGGCCCCTGGTAACTATAGGTGTTAGTACAGTGAGAGTGTAGGGGGCCCCTGGTAACTATAGGTGTTAGTACAGTGAGGTGTGTAGGGGTCCCCTGGTAACTATAGGTGTTAGTACAGTGAGTGTGTAGGGGCCCCTGGTAACTATAGGTGTTAGTACAGTGAGGTGTGTAGGTAACTATAGGTGGCCCCTGGTAACTATAGGTGTTAGTACAGTGAGGGTGTAGGGCCCCCTGGTAACTATAGGTGTTAGTACAGTGAGGGTGTAGGGGCCCCTGGTAACTATAGGTGTTAGTACAGTGAGTGTGTAGGGGCCCCCTGGTAACTATAGGTGTTAGTACAGTGAGTGTGTAGGAGCCCCCTGGTAACTATAGGTGTTAGTACAGTTAGTATATGGCTTCAGAAACATATTCCTGGAGCCACAAAACGTTCGCCAACAGTTATCGTGAAACTTGGATTACAATAACATGCACACTTATGGGTTTGCTCACTAGGTTCAGTGAGGAGTCAGCATGTAAAGCTCTCTAAAATTCCTGATCAGGTTTAATTTGTTCCATGATGTGACTCGACTGGCTGTCATTAGAACCTTTCCCTGTAAACCCCAGTACTCTCCGGTTCCTGAGTAGGCGTTTCGTCTGGGTTATCCGGGGCTACCTGAGATTTGGTCACACGCAGGTGTAAGCGGTAGGTCAAGACGATGACGAAAGCTGACAGGAAGTAGATAACCCCGGCAAAGTAAAAACACCCGTCTACTTTTTGTGTCGACTTTTCGATTTCATCTGTAACAATAAATAGGAAAGATCCTTTATTGTGAAAAATACCAATGGTGGTAGATAATAAAGTACTGTATGAAACCGATGCGCATATGAGTCTTTACCATTTAGTGATGACATACTGTCTTTACAGCAGTGGATACAGGAATGAATAGTTTTTACCCGAAATCAGGGTGACGTCAGTTAAGCTAATGTATGGTCGAATTCTTTAATCCGAATAATCCTGTTTGGGCAGATTCTGCTGTGAACAGGACTACATGTACAGGACACACTATATGACCGTGATACCGCCGTTGGGTTTGTAACAGCTCTCTCATGGGTTGGCACCCGCGATGATCCGGGTTAGAATAGATCTTCAGTAACCCATGCTTGTCGTAAGACGCGACTAACGGGATCGGGTGGTCAGGCTCGCTGACTTGGTTGACACATGTTATCGTATCCCAAATGCGTAGATCGAGGCTCATTATGTTGATCACTGGATTGTCTGGTCCAGACTCGATTATTTACAGACCACCAACATACAGCTGAGTGTGGCATACAACTAAACTCACTCACTCACTGTGGGTTGGTTGAGGAGCGCGATACCATACTCACGGCTGTTTTTTGGATTAGTGTTTTTATCCCACACTGCACCAAATGTTAGCAGTTCTGAAGTGCTTACTGGCTATTGCTGGCATCGACAGTTTTCCAATGCCTTGACCACAGGACATGATGGCTGCACCGATGGCAGCGTTGTTCTCCCCGAGAAGCAGCGGCATTATATACTCCAGCAAAGGGTTTCCAAAACCTGTGCCATGGTAATAACAACCAGATGTTAGTTTTCTTTTCGTGTGGTCTCGAACATGAATTTTGTAATAAGGGTCCTCTTTTCATGATGATGTTGGCACCACGATGATGTAATGGAAAACAACCCCTCACATCTTTTTGTTTACGGATATAGAAAAAACAAGTCCAAAATGGGATTTAAGGCATGTCATGTTATTATTTTGGATACTGGCTCAAAGTTACATCGGTTTAAAATATGACCTTAAAAAGGCCAGTGAAGTTCTGGCTCGGAATCAACAGCCACAATGGTTTAGCCGCGCTGAACGATCGTGCCATTCAGTCATAGCTATCATTGAAACGGTATTGATCAGTCAATAAGATCGGACGGTGTAAATCGACTATGGCAACTAGTACTTGACAGACCAAGATGCTACAAAGTAATGGCTTTCTAATTAAAACTGGGTTCTGTCCCCATTCAGTCGAAGGAATGTGAGTGTGGCACTGTGGCGCATGGTATTTTAAAGCATGTCCTTATGTCTTGTAAGATTAATATTGTTGAAAGAAATGTCGTATTTGAACAAATTTGTTACTTATGTTAATATGTTTGTAAAATTATAGCCCTATGATGATGACGATGAATTTCTGAAATTTCTACTTGGCGGAATACCGGAAGATGTTAAGGACCAGTTAAACTATGATGTGTGGGCAAATGTTATAATATGTGTCTCAAATTATGTATCTATAAAATATTTATAATTGTTGTGTTTGACCTTATTACCCTGTATAGATTATTTCCTGTACATGTCTGTTGTATTATGTACCTTGAATATGACTGTATAATATACATCTGTAATCTTTGGAGGAAATAAACACTATCTATCTATCTATCTATCAATAATGCCGATGTGACGTAAAGCCCAACCTCAACTCAACTGTAAACTTTCAACTTGGGAATCAACATGTAACACATGTCACAGGTCACAACTGACCATATGCAAGTTATTTACCTTTTAACACTCCGACAAGTACGGAATAGGAGATGGAATAGATGAAGTCATCCAACAGACTGGCCATCATGTTGAGGAGGAACAGGATTCCACTGAAGACGACCATCGCAATGACCACACTCTTCAGACGGATAGTACTGCAGATACAGCATGAGAAGCAGGTGCCCACAACACTGGCCACTGCTATGATTGTCACCAACAACTGACCAGTGGGCATGTACCAGCGCAGACCCTTGAATCTCGATAGCTTAGCCTCAATGACACTGATACCTTTACAAAGAAAACACACTATTTTGTTGATCAATTCTAAATTTTACATCTATTCCATTAATCTTAATTCTTTCTGATTAAACTGTTCCTGGTGACACGGGTAGGCTTGAGGAAGAAAACCAAACAGATTGCAATAGAGTTGGCTGGTTGTTTACCGCCGCACTCAGCAATATTCCAGCTATATGGCGGCGATCTGTAGATAATCGGGTCTGGACCATACAATCCAGTGATCAACAGCATGCGCATCGATCAACACAATTGTTATTTGATGGGATGTGTCAACCAAGTCTTACGACAAGTATGGGTTACTGAATACCAATTATTCTATCCCGGTTCTTCACGGGTCAGATTGCAATAGAGAGAGTATGGCCCGCATGGAGATCTACTGCACAGGAAAACAATAAAAATTCTATAACATTTGAACAATTTTGAAACCTCTTGGAAGAAGGAATTTTCAGTTCTAGCTCTAGTGGGTTTCGCAAAGAGAAATGCTCATTTCAAGAATATTGATAAAAACACAAGATTACACAAACTGCTATTTAAGACGAAGGCTAAGTAAATCGTCCATTCTGTATTGTGTCAACATAGTTCTTGATCTTGATCATAATTCATTTCGTGCGCGTTATTTCTTACCTCCGTCCCACAAACAACAGTCTGCCATGAAGACGTAGAGTAGAATAGATCGGAACACCTTCAGCTCATCCATATCCATAAAAAAAGATAGTAGACTTTGACTTTCTCGACGTTTCATCCGGGCATTCAGGGGTTTCAGAAAGAAACTACACGGAATCATGACACAAGCAGCACCGGCTTGGACGAGCAGATAACTCTTCCAGATGTTGATGCCACGGAATCCAGAAAAGAAGGTTGACATGACGCTGGCAGCGACCGATCCAAAGAAAGCACCACTATTGGGGATGAGTAGAGCCACCAGTCGGCGTGTGTTGAAGTACTGCAGTATTGCCGTAATGATTGCCACTTCGATCAAGTTGTGCCCGATACCTGAAGTATGACAAAGGACGATGTGAGCAATTATGCAGAATATTATAATTAATATGCTCATTATAAAATCTAGAGTTATCAGCTTTGGGGAAAACCCAGAAAATGTATTGAGGTGGCAAATAGAGCTAATAAACAGACTAACATCTGTATTGAATTCAAACTAGCATCTATGTGATTTGTATGGTTTAATCTACATCTCTGTCTAAACTCCAGATACCCCTGCATTTAGGGAAGTCTTCTGAAGTAATGCCAGTTTTGTGTTTTCGGCTCAACATAACCACGTACCACAAACTTCGTAATATTGAGCCCTCGGGCTGTAGCCTTACAGACACAGTATTGGACACTGCTAACCTGGTAGTGCCCCGTACAGGAAAGAGATGAGACGGACATTAGAAATGTCGGAGAACGCAGCTCCGAGATACCCCAGGGACGTCAGAACACTTCCGATCAGCGCCATCCACCGGTAACCAGTCAAGACAGTCAGAATTCCGCTTAGGATTCCTGTATCACGATGATGAAATGATAAGATTAGTTGTATGTTCCATCCAAAAATAGAGTTAGTAAATCATTACAGAGACTTGTTGGGCGTAGTAACAGTATGCAATTAGGGAGTGAATGAGTTGAGTTTCACGCCGCTTTTAGCAATATTCCAGCAATATCACGGCGGGGGGCACCAGAAATGGGCTTCACACATTGTGCCCATGTGGGGAATAGAACCCGGGTCTTCGGCGTGACGAGTGAACGCTTTAACCACTAGGCTACCCCACCTCCCCGTATGCAATTAGACCATATATATAAACGTGTGTGTGTGTTCTTTGTTTGTGTGCGTTTGTGCTAGTGTGTGTTTTTATGTGTTATTGTGTGTTTTTTTGTTGTGTTAGTGTGTGTTTCTACAAGTATGTGATAGTGTGTGTGTGTGTGTGTGTGTGTGTTTTAGTTGTTCTTGGTTGTTGTTTTTTTTTTTGCTTTGGTGTGTGTGTGTGTGTGAGAGAGAGAGAGAGAGAGAGAGAGAGAGAGAGAGAGAGAGAGAGAGAGAGAGAGAGAGAGACACACACACACACACACACACACACAGAGAGATTTCAACTTCATCGTTCATGCTTTCGTAGCTTAGAGTTCGTATAATCATTGATAGCATTCACATTCTCTGATACAAGTGGCATGCATGGTCGTGGAAGACAAAGTATCGCGTACGATTAATTGTGTTGATATATCACGGTTGATTCTGAACACTGGCAAGTTTGGAAACTTTACACCACCAGCCGTTTAAGTAATCGGATTGGCCGAAACCATCAGGATTAACATTTTTCACTCCAGAGCCGCCGACTCGAACCTAGAACGTACCGACCCGTCATATAAAATGTTACTACACAAAAAATCCATGTCCCTTGACAACAGAACGACCATGATGTCTGCTACTGGCATAGAAGACGAAAACTGAAACAAACATCTGGTCTGTTTTGAAGTATCACCTTCATATCCGTTTTACAGTGGGGGTAGTGTCATCTTAAGTTGATAACTTTTTGAAAATTTATAAACTCTATAAACTCACTCAAGCACAATATATTTGTGTCAGCTACATTGGTCACTTATATTTGTCTTTTTATAAGGACAGACTATACTGTTGTTTCTTTGATCTTAAAGCTGCATTTGATACCATTAATAGAACATGTTTGATGTATAAACTTTGGATTGGCAATGTGGAAGGTAAAATCTTTAGATTAATCAGAACTATGTACACAAATGTCCAATCATGTATATCATTGCAAGATGGCTACACACAACTGTTTCACTGTGTGAGCGGTCAAAACAGGGTTGCCAACTGCTATTTTCATTGTATGTTAATGGTATTACTGAATTTCTTGATGTTGATGAAGTTAGATGTATTGACCTTGATGTCTGTCGACTTTTTATGTTACTCTTCGCTGACGATATATTACTGATTGATAGTGCTGTGCGAGGTTTACGAAAAAGATTGAATACTCTAGCAATATATTGTAAAAAGTAGTCTTAAACCGTCAATACTAATAAAACTAAATGTATGGTTTTCAGGAAAGGGGGTAGATTGAAAAAATAAGAAAAAAAATATTTGAATGATACCCAACTGAAATTGTGTCTTCCTACAAATATTTGGGTGTTCTCAAGCAGTGGATCATGGCAGCACAAAAAACTTTGTCACATCAAACTTAGAAAGTGTTAAACATTTTACGTTCCCAGCTGTTAAATCTCAGAAAATTAACATTATCTGTTCTTCTCAACATCTTTGACTACAAACTATTCCCAACTTTAGCTTACGGCTCAGAAGTATGGGGATTGCATCCCTCACAGGATGCAGACAGGGTGTCACATACATGTTGTACTACTTGTAGAAAAGGCCAGTGGCCCCCTTACTACAATCAAGTAAAGTATTTGAGATTACACTTTCTTAGTAAAGTACAGATTCTAGTACTTTTTTAGTTGAGTCCCATCCGCTGTTTCCATGGTGTATAAATTAAAATTAATGAGAATCAAAAACACTATTCAGATAATTTTGTCTTTATTACATTTTTTTCCGACCGACCGACCCATGTTCAGAATTTGGAAGCTACGTGAAACCTAAAAAAAAAGAAAAATCCTTCCCTAACTGCTAATCACACACGTTTATAGTCTGTTTGCATTGAAAACGTACCGATGAATTTCATTTTAAACGAAAACGTAAATCAAATAAAGTGAAATTAAGATTGCGAATCCCCATAATTTTACCTTGCCAATTGAAAATTTAAATCTCATAATTTTATTCAACTTAGGATAAAAGTTGTTTAACAAACAATCATAGCTTCAAATCGCTGTTATTGGTTTGTATACAAGGGGGTATGCACGTTAAATGAAACACCGAGAACAAGGAGGGTTGGTCTAAGTTAACGCTCATCACGTACCGCACGTGAATTTGTTTCACTGATAAAAGTTGTTTAAAAAACTATCATAGTTTCAAATCGCTTATATTGGTTTATATTTCAAGGGGGTAAGCGCAGTAGTTGGAACAGTGAAACAAATTCACGTGCGGTACGTGATGAGCGTTAACTTAGACCAACCCTCCTTGTTCTCGGTGTTTCCGGAGAGCGGAAGGTCGCGGGTTCGATCCCCGACCGCGTCATACCAAAAGACGTTAAAATATGGTACTTGTTGGTCCCTGTCTGGCGCTCGGCATTAATGGGTACAACAAGGACTGGTCTGTTCGGAGTCAGTATAATGTGTCTGAGTGGGGTATTCCTGCTTCACTGCGGCATGGTATCTCAGTGGGCTAGCACTATAAAACCAGCTTCAGTCTGGGCTTGTACAAGCAGCCGCACATACACATACACACGCATGCACGTCGTCATATGAGCGAAATATTCTCAAGCACGACGTTAAACCCAATTTCACCTCACCTCACCTCACCTAATAATTCAATGATCAGTGTGGGAGTTAATACTGTTGACATTTTGTATGAAAATAGTTCTATATAGCTGGTAGCTGAACTTTGGTTCATATGATTGGATTTAATACTTTATGTTCATAGCTTACCTGACACTGAATACAGAGCCTTATAAGTGGTATCAACTATTTGTGCCTCCACAGTCAAGTTTAGGGAAATCAGCTGACTATACCGTTCGCTTCCAGATGATGAGCTGTTTGTACTTTCCATAAACAACAGAACATTAGGCTGAAGATCGATGAATATTTTCTTCAAAGATGCTAAAATCATAGCAAAGAATACTAAACACCACGCCTTTCCCCGGTCTGGGGGATCCGCAACCGCATCAGCTGTCGAGATGGTCAGTTCTTGACCAATTCCGGAGTCCATGGTAAATACCTGAAATATACAACAAAACTCAGAGACACAGAGCGACAGAGTAGTCTGAGCTGGCGCTGTTACCATTTGTGAGTAGGACCCTGATTTCTCGAAATAAACGTAAGTTTCTATTCAAATTTCAAACTGAGTTTGACAATTTGAAACAGTTGAATTTTTAACCCAACTGCAGTTTTAAAATAAAAAAGCCCAAACAACTTAAGTAATCTATCCACCAAACTCAAATTGTTTACTATGTTTGATGTCCAAGATATTTTTATGGATTAAGCTTCTTTTTTATTTCTCTCACAACGTTTCGGGACCATTACAGGTCCCATCATCAGTTCACCTGATGAAAGGTCTTGGACATCGACGTACAACTTCTAATTGCCACTAAAAGACATCATACTATGTTTGAGTTTAATATCGATTTCAGTTCATTTTGGGAAATGCATTTTCCTGTGTTTTCTCAAATTTGGGTAAAAACTCTAACTTAAGTCAAAACTCAGACTTAAGTTTGTTTCGAGAAATCGGGGCCTGATCTCAGTAGATGCTCGGAGATGACCTTTTTTATTGGCACTAAACCCGTGTCTGTATGATGAAACAAACATATGCCCCAAACCTGCACAAAAAAGACACAATTCACCCAGGCAATCCCTCAAAAACAACAAAGCAGTCTTGCAAAATATATGATCGACTGCAGGTAGTTTAACCCCTCTGGGCAAGGTAAATTTGACTTGCATGAAAGAATAGTTGGTGCACCTATACAACCAGATACACTTCCATCACTGTAGGTTAGCTTTTTCCTGGACACTGAATTGGTTAACTACAGTACTATTGATGATGATCGATCCTTGGCTCAGAACCCTTAAAACTATTCAGGATGTATGGCCAAATCAGTGATGTTAATTGATTTGTGTGTTTTAACGCCCCAGTCAGCAGCATTCGAGCTCAATGACAGCGGTGTGTCAATAATCCACAACTGAACTTGCCTCTTTCAAACAGTACCAGGTTTTCACGAAGACGGGTAGTATGATGAGTGTCCTAGCTAACCGTAGCATCAGCCACTTACACAATCAGAATATCTGTTTGTTCGTTCCCTGATTCGTTACAATGTATACGATTCAACAAAATGCGAATCTACCAATAAGTGATTGAACGTTGTTTTACGGCAGACTCAACGTTCCTTCAGCGAGAACTGTTTGGTATTATTATAAGCTTGCAAGTAATATAGACAAGATAACATTTCTATATAGATATATTTACTTCTGTATCCTATTAATAAGATATATTTATGCCGTTTTCAAGTCTCAAGATTGAAAAACTAAGGCACAATGACATGCAGGTCAAAATCAGCAGCATCGAGAGCAAAGTGGCGGATTCTCTAAATCACGTTTTATTACAATAGTAATTATTGTCAAGTAGCCTAGTAGTGACATTGCAGGACTTGGCAACAAAACATACTCATTGACGTGGGTCGGAAATAAACGACTGAGCCGATAATTGAGCTATGAAATCATATCACTAAGAGCACTGATTGTGGAACCAATCTCATGTGTAAGTAGACATTAAGCAATCAAATACATTTGTGATGAAATTTATATATGCTTGCTAAATGTATTTGAAAGCTTAATTGGGGCCTTGTGTAG